ATACATACATATATCGAGATTCTGAGAGATAATATCAATGTACCAAAACATAAATCGCGGGATAACAACATCAATAAATATAAAAAATATGAGCATATCGAAATCGCGAGATGTGTAAAATTAAACTAGTAGCTACTGTACGCGGAAATCGTGAGACACCCGGTCAGAGGGTTAATAAATTATTTATCAATAATCAATAAAGAAAATCAGCAAGGAAAAATGATTACCCCAGTCACTTAATAGCCCGCCATCAATATACGACTATTTAATTAATCACAATTAATTTAGCACATGAAAGTTCGGCATCTATTAATCAGTATTAGTATGAAAGTTGATAAATTAGCGCCAATTTGTGCCTTAGATCAGGTGCTCGTTAGAGGCTGTGTGCTAAGCGGGAGCCAGTTACTAGTTACTAGAGTTGGACTGCAGCCAAAATTAAGGACAAACTGCAAGCTTATCTTGCTGCTTTGCAGATATTCTTCTTCCAAATGTCAACTTATACGATAATTTATTATTGTACTCAGTTTTTCACCATCAACATCATTACACCACTAGAGGGAGACTGTATAAAAGTTTTTCACTTCGGTACCTCTGTCCGATTTGTGTCTCTGCCGTGAAATAGTTGTTTGCATGGCTATGTTTTGAAGAATATGATAGTGAAATTAAAGGATACAGGGACATGGTACTGACCGCAATATAAAAAAGTTTGGTACAAAATACGGACTTAATGCTATATAGCATTCTGTCTCCATCAACCATTAGCAAAACAGAAATGTAAAAATGCTGGAAATATTTTTACCAGAGGGAGACTTTGTACAAAAGTCATTTGTTGGACACCTCTGTCCCATTCGTGTTTCTACCGTGAAGCAGTTGTGTTTGTATGACTGTATTTCGCTTTGAAGGGTGGGATATGACAGTGAATTTACAGGGTACAGAGTAATAACACCTGAGTCCTCAGGAATGGCACCGCATGAGGGGTATCATGGGTGAAACAGTATACTCTGTTATGTCCATAGTACTGCTTATGTCTATAGGCGACGGTTACCACTTTCCATCAGGTGGTCATTTTATGTTGTATTAAAAAATCATATTAAAATGTATTAAAAGAAGATATTAAATACATTCAATAATTACATGTCTAGTAAATTATAATATTGAATAATAGAACCTAGAGTCGTGCCAAGAGAATCAAAGTTATATGGAAACTGTCTAGACATCCGGGCTACCATGTCTAGACCAGTATCTTAATATATAAGTGGATGTAACTAGGGGGAAATAAAAAAGAAAACATTACATGAGTAATTATTTCAAGTTTTTAACTATGCAACTTAGAATGGCAAACAAGATGACGGCCCATCTAATGGGAAGTGGTAACCGTCGTCTATAGACATGATCAGTACCATGGACATAACAGACTGTTTTGCCCATGATACCCAGCGGGGTATGGGCAGTAGGACAGTAGGAAGTAGGACAGTTAGCCCATCATGACGAATTCAACAAGAATTATTCACGATGGTTTCCAGCGGGAACCACGTGGAGGTCGACCAAATAGGGCATATTGCTAGCAATGGGGCTGTCAAACTCCATTGCCAACAATCCCTTTCCCCGCAACATTTGTCTACTTGTCGATGCATAATTAAACTTCAATAACACTTGAATAACACCTGAGTCCTCCGGAATAGAAACGCATGGGAGGTATCATGGGCGAAACAGTATGTACTCTGTTATGTCCATGGTACTGCTCATGTCTGTAGGCAACGGTTACCACTTTCCATGAGGTGGGCTATCAGCTTATTTGTCATTCTACGTTGCATAATAAAAAATACTTCATGTTACTACATAGTCTAAGTCGTTCCCCATCTGTCTGTCCCTATGTATGCTTAGATCTTTAAAACTACGCAACGGATTTTGATGCAGTTTTTTCAATAGATAGTGAATGAAGAGAACGGTTTATATGTATAATACATGCATAATATAGCAGAGAAACAATGATAATTTTAGAAGTTTCTAATATGATGTGATGCAATGTGCACCCGTGCGAAGCCGGGGCGGGTCGCTAGTATTTAAATATGTCCAATATAATGACCAGTTTTTGTTTGAAGTGTAGAATATGGCGTGAATTTACAGGGTACAGAGGAATAACACCTGAGTCCTCAGGAATGGCAACACATGGGGGGTATCATAGGCGAAACAATATACTCTGTTATGTCCATGGTACTGCTCATGTCTATAGGAGATGGTTACCACTTTCCATCAGGTGGACCGTCAGCTTGTTTACCATTCTAAGTTGTATAAAAAAAAAACTCAGCATTTATAGTTATATTTCTATTTGCATTCAAATTGCCATTTCTTTGCGGTGTAAAATTATTTCCTATATTGGAAAAAGATCCGGCTGTATCATATCTGATTTCTCTATATGAAACAGGGCCGCCGGCAAATCTGAACACAAATATTTCCTTTTTGATTCACTGCCCCCATTTTCTGGACGTCTTCCAAAACGGAAGGTGGGCGGAATCTTTCACTGCATTGCTTCCTTCCTCTAAGGAGTGGCTGAGAAGTAGCGGCTAAAAATACAAGTAGAGGCGATTCGAATTTACTTTCGTCTGAAAGTGTTTTTTCCGAGTGCGAAAAAAGGTAACATTATTAATTACTTGAATTTTGTTATTATTATTATATTAGCTGTTAATAGTCCATTGCTGAACATAGGCCTTTCCCATAAGGGAGTTTTGCCACGCTTGGCAAGCGGATTGGCAACCACAGTTAGGTTTTTACAGATCTTTTAAGAGGGATGCTGCTGCCCATTCCTCCACCATAATTTTCCTTAGTCGCTGCTTACGACACCTACGCGAAAGAAAGGGGTGGCCCATTCTATGCCGGGATCTACACGGCGACCTTCCATATTAGCCATCAATCTCCGACTGCCATTTTGTCCACGCAAAACAGCAAAACTAAATAATTCTAATCAAATAAACAGTGATATGTACTTTCGCAAGATAACCTCTAGTTCAGGTGTTTAACCTATTACCCGCTACATAGAACATATAATATTACAGTTAATAACGATGTATCTACATTATTATAGCCTAAAGCAGTGTTTTTTAAAGTGTGGGTCACGACCCCTTGGGAGTCCAAACCAACCAAGGTGAAAAATGAACAGTTCCGTAAAAACATCAATTAATCAATAATACATAATGAAGTATCTATAACAGACATCGATTACATGTCTGTTTTAGATACTTTATTATGTATTATTTATTTTATTCTATCGATACCCAACTGTGAATATAACACATTATATACAACTGTACGGATTTCATAATTGTACTATAATAAAATTCATACACATTCGAAACCGTGGAGGGCAAGGGGTTGCAAGATATTTTTACATAATAAGGGGGTCGCGTCATGAAAAAGATTGAAAAACACTGGCCTAAAGAAACGCCCTTGATCCGATCCAGAAGTAACACATTAAACATACCTGAGGATTGCCATAACGTTTGGCAGAGTTCCACACGCGACAAAAACTCTTCTGGCGTTCAAAATTAGTTTTTATTCTAATACAAATTTAAGTTTCAATTAAATTTGAGCTATTAGGCAACTCATTTAATATACCAATTCAAACCAGTGACTTTTTCTTTCATTTACAAGATGACCAATAACAGTGTCACTTGTATATATATAATTACAGAATGGCTGAACCTATTTGATTAATTCTTTATTTGTTATGTTTGTAATTCTTCTAAAGAATCAGATGTTATTTTGCGGAAGTTCATGTCACAGAATAGTTCATTTTGATTGTTTTGTTTATTTTGTTTAATTCCGCTACCATGAATTACCATAATGGTAGCGGAATTAAACAAAATAATTCTAATCAAATAACCAGTGTTTGTAATTGTCAGAACTAGGTTTTTATGAACAAAATTGTTTTAATTTTTTTGAAATAATTACGCACATTGTGGGTAGCTAGTTATGAAATTCAGAATTAAACATCGTGTTACATTTTTTGGCATTGCTTTCAGTAATATAACTACTTTGTTATACTTATACATGTATATCTCTATATATTCTTTTATTCCATATGTTATATTTTTTAGTTTTATCCACTTGTTGATTCTTTGGGAAGAATCAATCTTCTTTCAAATCAGTGTGAAGGAATGGGGTTCTTAGTGTCCATATACGAGTAGAAATAATATATATCTATTTTATCGAAGATATTGCTCGTTTATTTATTGTATATAGTGTATTTTTATAAGTGCGTTCATTGCAGAAAATGGATGTGGTATGTCAACTAATGCTTTTCCTTATGGACACTACCTAATTCACAGATGGTTGGCATTTGATAAGAGCCATAAGTCCAAATAAGGCTTTTTTGTTTGCGCTATTAGTGGCTACAGCTGATGCCACTTTTATGCTATTAATAGCCCTGGATATTTTCTCTGAAAATAAAAATGCATTAATTAAAATTAATTGTCAGACACCATTTGGATTTGACTTTTGAGCAGATGCTGTTTTACCCCCAATGTTACAATTATACTTATTGTTAAGTAGGGTCTGCGATCTTTTAGAAAACTTACGTGACGAACTGATCTGACCTCATCCATACCTATCATCCTGCACTGGTACCTCGCCAATATCGTAAGCTTTGCTGTCTATTCTATGAAGTCCACAGTATTAGGTCCAGATCTCCATATCATAGTTTAGTCAAATAGTAATAATACCTTTTACCTTATTTAAGAGTCTTGTTTGGGCAACTAATTCATACATTTTCTTCCAGCCAATTCTATTCCAGGCCATATCTTTGACCTCCCTGTACGATGAGACCTAGTGTTTCCTTTATCTGTCTCATGTAGTTATTTCTCAATTTTACCCTTCCTCTTTTGCCTTCTATTTTCCTTTTATATGTTTTTTAAAAAATGTCATGTTGTTTGAGGCCCAGCATTTTGATTTTTAATAATGCTGGAATCCAACTTTATTTTTACAAAATATGTTTTTTTTCGCAGAGTGGACTTCAGAAACGGTCCTCCAGTCCACTGGGCGGTTGCGGGCGAGTTCGGAGCTCGCACTCACTTTGTGCTCAACGAGTCTGATCCATCGTCAGCTCACCTGGCCATTGATAAAGTGGCGAGGCAAGACGATGGCCTGTACAGGTGCAGGATCGACTATGTTGACTCACCCACCCGGAATTACCGGGTTAATTTAACTGTGATAGGTGAGTTTATAAATGATAAGATGGAAGATATTTCCTTGTGTGTGCTATATATATATATATATAAACCGGCAAAAAAAATATATATATATTTTTTTTTTTTTTTGCCGGTTTTTGTATTTAATGCACGTAAAAATTATTAAATCACTCTTATGCCACCTACCCGCTTCTGTATGTTCTCTTTTGACCAAAGGTTGTCTGTAAGCGATTGTACTAGCGATAAGATCGTCTTTTGTACCTTTATATGTATATTTTAATCTGTATTTTATGCTACTGTATTTCACTTGAATTGTTTATATGTCATTGTTAATTTTTATGTTTCTGATGTAATAAAGAATTAAATAGATAAATAAATATATAATTTTGCGAAGTGATTACTACGTTGAATCCTCGGTCAATTTAAGAACCGAACTTTGACCATAGACAGTGTCTCAAAATGTTTGTTACTTTGAGATGTTGCATGAACTAGGATATTTTCTATTAATTGTATAGTAGTCAATTTATATAACTTAGTGGAATTATTATGTACTATTTAATTTTATATATATAATAGTGAGTAGTATATATTTACATTATTACATGTATTACACCTCCATATTTAGAAATAATAGGATCTTGATCGTGCCTCCGATCAAACTCTTTATAATTACTCCTCCCCATCCAAAGGTTGCCTGGAAAAGATTGCTCTTAGCGATAAGGTCGCCCATTGTATTCTCATTGTGATTATTTTTTGTAATTGTTTATATTTATAATAAGTTTATTATTGTAATCTGTTGGAGGAAACAATAAAGAGTATCTATCTATCTACAATTATTAAATTTAATATAATTAACAACCAGTTTATTATTTTCTATTATCTAGTAATAATTTATATAACTTAGTGGAATTTATGTACTATTTAAATATAATTAATTAATTAAATTATAATTAACTGCCACTTTATTAATTACAATTGTACGAATTTTGAAATGGTTATTTTTGGAAGCTGAATATGCTAGACATAGTTTTTACCAACTGTATCCCGCAGCTCCGCCCGCGAAATACAGTAATATTTCAAATTTAAACTCGTAAACCGAATTAATCGTAAGTTTTGACAGTTGTCACTATCGTTCTAACATTTTGCGTTCCACTAAAGAAATTTTCTAATATCATTATAACTTGGTATACGAACTTTTTAAATTCCACGCAAACTAACAAACTTTTGGCATGTGTGATTAAACTTCATCTCGCTAACACATGTTTTTCAGCTTTTTTTTTCTGTTTATCAAAACATTTTTCTTAAAGAAAGTTTTCTTCACCTGACAGTGTAAGTGGAGTTTTAATATCATGATATTATTAGGTATAATTTATACTTATAATTTTTTTTTATATTTTTATAAATAATGCGACACAAATATAAATCCGATTGTTAAATTTTGCAATTCTTTGAATTTATATGTAAGAAATGTGGTCCCGGCATAGAATGAGCTACCCCTTCCTTTCCTGTGGGTGTCGTAAGAAGTGACGTGTGTTGGGTAGCAGCGTCCCTCTTAAAATATCATCCAAGTATAACTGCATGTTGCCGACCCACCTGCCAAGAATGGCAACTACTGACAAAACCCCCCAAGGAGGAGGCTTATATTCAGCAGTGGACAAAGGACGGCTGATATGCATGAATGAAAAATACAATCGTGACGCAACGGTAGTCACTTTGAGTAATGAGGTCCTAGGTTCAATTCCCAGTCTGCTCAATTCTGTAAACGAATTTTTATTAAATTGACTCAAATCTGAGTATTTCGGGTGGTATACCCAGATATTAGTTGTCTGATTCCCAGTAAGATAGGCTACTTATTTATTTTAAACTCTAAGGTAACTTATGATTAAGGATTACGAATTGATCCCGAAATTAGTTGAGCTTTCTCGGTCCAATTACACAAAAGTTAAACCGGTCATTATTTCATTAAAAATAAGAATACTTTTTAAAATCCGACAATTCATAATTTGCCGCAAATATCTGGAGATTTCCTTTTCATGTAATAAAATTATAACAAAGTCAAAACTGTACGTAAAATATTTTTGCAAGTGTAGTTTATTTTTATATAATATGCGATAAAAAATTATAGATTTTGAATATTTTCTATATTTATATATTACGTAAAAAAGGAAGAATGTGATAATTTTTTCAAGTAGACATATTGAGTTAAATATGTGTTAAAAATAGAAGCAGAAATGTATAAATTAAATATAGTAGTATTTTTTATCCATAACATTGATATATAACTTCTAAAAGGAAATGATTAATATTAACACAAAGAGTGTTTTCGAAAATGCTGTACAACGCAAACGAATTAGTAGAGTCAGCTAGTCTAAATATATATAAAAATATAATATAATATAAATGCATAATGTGCATCGTGGGTGTCACAGTATATTTTGTGATATCAATGATGCCATTATTTCATGTTTACAGACGACGGTTACCACTTTTCTTAATGAAAGTCGCCAGCTTGTTGGACACTTTGAGATTTATGAAAAAAAAAAATGAAGTGTTATAAACATAAAATCTTTGTATTTATTTTACTTTTAATCTCGTTGCTCTTTTTGCTTCGAAACCGGTTTAATCCGGAAAGTTTTAAACTAAGTTTCATAACAATCCCCCGACACTTCAACGATCATTATCTCTTAACACAGTTAGTGAGATTTTAAACGTCTAACAATATTCAGAAACAAGAGGTTTCTGGCTAACCAGATTAAAGATTAGATACATTTTTATTTTAATTTAAAAATATATAATAAAATTATATATCTATATACATTTAGAAATAACTATTCGTAGTTCGCACTTTTTATATATATATAAATATATTATTACTATTATTATATCAGTCGTTAATTGTCCACCGCTGGACATAGGCCTTCCCCATAGAAGGAAGATTTTGCCAGTAGTTGCCATCTTTGGCTGGCGGGTTGGAAACCGCAGTTAGGTTTTGGTGATGTTTTAAAAGGGACGTTGTTACCCATTTCTCGACAATTAAGTTTCCTTAGTCGCCTATTACATGGGCATGGGGTATGTGGTAGCCCATTCTATGCCTGGACCACACGGCAATTAAATATATCTTGTACGTAAATCCCGGATATTGTCTTTTATACTTTGTAATCTCTCAAAAAGTTCATGCCAAAGCAGATAGCTCAATTCTTCTTCAACTTAAATTTTCAACCGACTTAAAAAATAAAGAGGTTTTCAATTCGGTAGTACAACCGAGAACATACAGAATTAAGACTGTTTAAAAAATTAAACCTAAGTCGTCCCAATCGAGAATCGAATCCTGGACCTCATTACGAAAAGCAATGTGCCTACTGCTGCAGCATGGAGGTTGATTTTTAAAGACTTTTTTCATCATCATTATAACATAATTAACAATCGTAACAAAAAAGCTATTTTGATTTAAAAACTAAACTACTAGACCGATTTTAGTAAAATGTCCTTGGCCTCAATCAGACCAGATAAAAAAAATCCAAATCTGATTACAACTGACGGAGTTATGAGGTAACAAACATAAAAGAAATACAAGTTCATTGAAAACCCCCTTTTTTAAGTAATTTGATAAACATTTGAGACTTTGTACAAAAGTCGATTGCTTGGGCACCTCTGTCCCATTCGTGTTTCTACCGTGAAGCAGTTGTATTTGCGTAGCTGTGTTTCAGTTTGAAGGGTGGAATATGGCATGAATTTACTAAGTACAGAGGAATAACACCTGAGTCCTCAGGAATGGCAACGCATGGGGGGTATCATGGGCGTAACAGTATACTTTGTTGTGTCCATGGTACTGCTCATGTCTATTGGCGACGGTTACCACTTTCCATCAGGTGGGCCGTCAGCTTGTTTGCCATTCTAAGTTGTATAAAAAAAACACCGCCGTATGTCGTTCTTTGATGATAGAAATCAATGTATCTCATTAAAATTACAACAGTATCGAGTTACTTGAATAATATTTTTTTATATGTCAAGTATGATTATAACATAAACGCTGTAATTGTTTATATCGGCTTTACTCGAGTATTTTCTTATGTTTTTTCTTTTTTCTTTTATTTTTTTAACAATAATAACTGTTTTGGAATGAATTGAGATGACGAGGTTGGTAGAGACCGTATATTTCAACTTTTAACTGACAATCATCGTTATGATCGCCTTGTCTTTGATCATGTATTTGGGATCGGCGCAGTATGGCTTCATCTTCCAAAAATCTCTGTCTACTGTGGTTTCTGGATTCACTTCACTTTTATGCATATCATGTTTCATACAGTCCATCATCATTCCAGTGTAAGACTGTAAAAAAGTTATTTGCTTGGTTACTTCTGTCCCATTCTTGTTTCTACCGTGAAGCAGTCTGTTTGCATGGCTGTGTTTTGGTTTGAAGAGTAAGATATGAAAGTGAATGTTACAGGATACAGAGGCCTTATATACCTTAGTTTTCGGAAATGGCTGCGCATGAGTGTATCATGGGCGAAACGGTGTACTCTCTTATGCCAATGGTATTGCTCATGTCTATAGGCGACGGTTACCACTTTCCATCAGATGGGCCGTCAGCTTGTTTGCCATTCTAAGTTGTATAAAACAAATAAGCCAGTAAGACTTATTATTTGAGTTCTCGGTAATTTGTTCATTTATATATTTCTTAACAGTACCACCAGAACCAGCTCGGATATATGACTCCGAGGGGCGAGAAATCCTCGGGTCGATGGCTGGACCGTTTAGAGAGGGACAGGATTTACTGCTCTCCTGTCAAGCTGTCGGAGGTTTGTAATAGTTTCTTACGTAATACCATATATATTAGAGAGCCAATAATTCTTGTTGAAATTTCCTTTATATATTTATACTGCAAAATTACAAACACACACACACTTACACTATCACACACACACACACACGCACGCACGCACGCACGCACGCACGCACGTACGCACGCATGCACGCACACACACACACACACACACACACACACACACACACACACACACACATCACACACACGTATGCGAATTAGTATTAATATATTAGTTGATTTTTAATCTTATCGTCGATCTTGTCTAAAATAAATTGAACACTATTTTTAGATGTCTATCTTTGAGCTAGACATTTTATAAACAATTTTAATTTAGTCTACAGAGCAAATAAACGAAGTCATATTTGCCAATCTGTTAATTTACAAAATTTTAATATTGGAAAATAACTTTAGTGACATTAAAATAGGTACTGGATAAAGATATTCAATTAATTCCTCTTTTTATGTACTAGATAATTAATCTGAGAAATTATTCATCATCATCATCATCATCGTCATATCAGTCGTTAACTGTTTCTTACTGAACATAAGCCTTCTCATTAGAGAGGGGTTTTTTCCAGTAGTTGACACGCTTGGCAGCCAGATTGGCAACTCTAGTTAGGCTCTTAGAGATGTTTTAAACAGGACTGTTGCTTTTCTCTCGGCCTTCCTTAGTCGCCTCTTACGACACCCACGGGAAGAAAGGGGTGGCCTATTCTATGCAGGGACCATACGGCGATACATACATACAAATACATATATATAATTTTAAATATATATTTAGTGTTTGTGTTATTCTTTAAGCGGTAATCCATTAATGCCACTTTACAAATTGTTTTGTACATTTTATCCCCAGGTATTATTTCCTAGAATAGATAGAAACGATCCCTTAAAATATTCTGATTATAATATTTTTGTTGTACACTTCTTTCCTATTATTTCAATTTTTATTTGAGTTTTATACTTCTAATTTATTTGGATTACAAATACGTAACAATACTGAATAAAAAATTGTTCATTTCAGAGAAAGATATAGAAAATATAAAGGGAACATTACTTGAAACTATAGACAGCAATATCTTCGAGATAATCTTAGTATTTTTTTTTAATGGGTAGAAATGGAATGGTAACCCCGCCCGATCTATCGATATATACCGACGAGGCACCAGTGGAAGATGGTAGGTGAGAATGAATGCAAGTCAGTTAGCTCACCAAGATGAATTCGACAGGAATTAAACATGATTTCCAGGAACCGCGTGGAGGTCGACCTGAGAGGGTAAATTGCTAGTAATGGGGCTATTAGACCCCATTACTAACAATCTCTTTCCCCCTAATCTTAGTTATTAGTAACCTCAGTAGTAGAAGGATAGGCAAGCTGAAGTGACAATGGACCGGTCACATAACTTGAAGAACCAACAACCGATGGGACAGATAGGACCTTGAGTAATCACCCCGTACGGGCAACACAGCGTAGGACCTACCACTTAATTGAGCGACGACGAGCTCGGGATCGTTCTTTATGGCAGTCTATGTGGGAGGCCTATGTTCAGAAAGGAACAGTTAGCGGCCTTTACAATGGTGATGATGAACCTTAGTATTCCCCTAAGAATCACCCGTTAAGTACAAAAGTACTTAATGGGTGACAATGGAATGATAACCCCGCCTGCGCTATCGGTATGGTGCCCTGTAAGCACCATTAAATTACATTTTTACGCCAACTCTTTCAAACCAAAGTTAAATGTATATTATTTAAAACAGGTATATAATTTTAAACAGGAAAACCACCACCGGACGTGTCATGGTACCGTGGTGAGGAGCAGCTAGCCATAACAAAGGAGGGTTCTGTTTGCCAACTCCACCTTCAGCGGCTATCTAGAGAGATGGCTAACACTAAACTGCAGTGTAGAGTGAAGCCACCGCTACTGCAGTCTCAATTTAGAAATGTTACGCTTAAATTATACTGTAAGTAAATATTTCTGTTTATAATTACGTAGCGCCACCTATGTAGTTGAAAACTAAGTATGATTTGGCTTGTACTTAAGAGTATCCATAGTATGAGAGCGAAGCTGGAGCAAACGGATATTGGCACGGGTGTAAAAAAAATCGAAAATAATTAAATCATCTCCTATAAAGAACGCAACTCTTCGTCGGTGGAGCTCTTGCCACTCACTATGATTTCCAGCGACTTTTTACCTCTTGATACGACATAACGCTTTTTTCACTTTTGTGGTAAAAAAATAATGTGTTATTGTAATACTAATTTTGACTCACGACTTCGTCTACGTGACTTGTATATCTTGATTGATTACTTATAAATAATGACTTATATCTCTCTGCACCTCATATAGTGTATATCAAACTTCATGATGATTGCTTTAGCCGTCTTGGTACTAAAAATGTAACAAACAAACGGACGACAAAGTACTGGGTACAGAGGAATAACAACTGAGTCCTCAGGAATGGCAACGCATACGGGGTATCATGGGTGAAACAGCATACTCTGTTATGTCCATGGTACTGCCCATGTCTATAGGCGACGGTTACCACTTTCCATCAGGTGGGCCGTCAGCTTGTTTTGCCATTCTAAGTTGTATAAAAAAAAAGAAAAAAAAAGATGAACAAACTTATTTTCATATTTATAATTGGTATAAAGATTTATAGCAATTATTTCAATATTTTTACTTCTCCATTGTACAGTAAAACCACAATTTATACGTGTAAGCGGGAAAGGAGCGACACGTGCTGGTCAAGATAGATCCTTCACGTGTACGACACAAGGTTCAAAACCGGCTCCGAACATAGACTGGTTCATCAACTCACAAAGAGTCGATTCTACTTTAACAGAGGTAAATGTTAAAATAATAATTTTATAATATGTCACACATATGAGGTATTTATTTATTTACTAAACTTTAATACACCTATATAGTGTAAATGGTGGACTTAACACCATATGGTGTTATCTACCAATCGACTGTAGACAGGAATAACGGAAAATATAATTGACGATGTAACGTAATAACGTAACCAGAGGGAGACTTTGTATAAAAGTCGATTGCTTGGGTACCTCTGTCCCATTCGTGTTTCAACCGTGAAGCAATTGTGTTTGCATGGCTGTGTTTCGGTTTGAAGGGTGGGCTATGGCGTGAATTTACTGGGTACAGAGGAATAACACCTGAGTCCCCAGGAATGGCAACGCATGGGGGGTATCATTGGCGAAACAGTATACTCTGTTATGTCCATGGAACAGTTGAAGGCTGATATGATGATAATGATACTTTGAAAGGAACAATAAAAAGCTTTTAATCATTCATTCACTATTATTTTTACAAGGTGGACGTAGATGGTGAAGTAACGAAGAGTACTCTAACCTGGCATGTGAGAAGGGAAGACAGCGGGCGTCAGTTGGTCTGCAGAGTCTCCAACCCTTGGTTTCCAGCTTATACCCTCGAGGATTCAATTACTTTCGATGTTATGTGTAAGTATTACTTTAATATACTGGTAATATTATGTTTTTTTTTTATTCGACTTAGAATGGCAAACAAGCTGACGGCCCACCTGATAGAAAGTGGTAACCGTCGCCTATAAACATGAGCAGTACCATGGACATAACAGAGTACACACACATACTGTTTCGCCCATGATACCCCCCATGCGTTGCCATTCCTGAGGACTCAGGTGTTATTCCTCTGTACCCAGTAAATTCACGCCATATCCCACCCTTCAAACCGAAACACAGACATGCAAACACAACTGCTTCACGGTAGAAACACGAATGGGACAGAGGTACTCAAGCAATCGACTTTTGTACAAAGTCTCCCTCTGGTAAGATATTTAAATACTCGTAAATTATGTTTATAACAAATGGTTTATCCATATATGTAAATTATAAATTGTAATTTCATTGCGACAATCCAAAACGGGATACAAACGAAGATAAAATTATTAAGAGCACAACAAAAACACAACAGGAAATGTTAAAAAGCGACAGTATATCAAATGAACACCACAGTACGAGCAGATAGGGGAGCGGCGGAGTTCCGGCGATGTTTGCCCGTCGCCGCGCCGAGTCTCGAGCCAACTTAGCCTCATAAGTATTATCGCGGCTCGCGGGCCCTGTTCACCGTTATTACATTGCGCCCTCACACGACGTGTGTATGTGTTAAATTTTAAAATTTAGTAGTGGATCCGGCTGATGTGATAATGATGAAATATATATAAGCCCTTTTATGGTACTCCGAATTCACTATAACCCTAGTAAGACATATTTTCCTTTTCTATTTATTATAATATATCTCTCAATTCAAGAAACAGTATCTGTTATATCCATGGTACTGCTCATGTCTATAGGCGACGGTTACCATTCTCCATCAGGTGGACCGTCAGCTTGTTTGCCATTCTAAGTTGTATAAAAAAAAAGTTGCTACATCTACTAACATTATACCTTTGGTATATCGTATAGCTTCCTAAAATAACATATGTAAAGTTACTAAGTTAGTTTACCTACTGTTAGATATGTACATTATAATATAGTGAAACCATAATAAAATTAATTTGTTATCCTCATAGAAACTTAACACTAAATGATCTAATTTAATTAAATGCTCCCATGTGATACACGGGCCTTCATTAGCTTTAAATTTTGGCGAAGTCGTATCACTTAGTAATTTTAGTAGTTTAGTAGTTAAAATGTAACAAATATAACTAAACATTAAAAAATGTAAAATTTTACCTTCTTTAATAAATTATTACTGAAATAGAGATATGTATGTTTTATATTATTTGTATATGTAAGTAATATTTTATTCCATAACCTGAGTGTTCGTGGGAGAAATCTCTGAAACCGCGTTGTACGCAACCATTTAGGCTGTAGGATATGAGGGCGAACTCCCTGTCGACGTCGAGCCGTATGTACTTATGGAAGAAAGTAGCCGTGGGCATCATTTTAAACAATTCTTCTGAGCACAATCCTTTATTTGTTACTCGATGCTGTCTAATCTGTTCTGTTTAGGCGTGATGATTAATATACAGTTTTGTTTTTTTGATGGGTGAAAATGGTATGGTAACCCCGCCTGCGCTAACGGGATACGCTGGCGGAGCACCAGTGAAGGGTGATCGATGAAAATGAAAACAGGCCAGTTAGCCCATCATGATGAATTCGTCAGGAATCAACCATGATAGTTTCCAAGAGGAACCGTGAGGAGGTCCACCTGGTTGGGTATATTGCTAGCAATGGGATTCTCAGTCTTCATTACTAACAATCCCTTTCCCCCTATTAATGTACAGTTGTGAACCATTTGAAACAACAACATTGTTCAATTTAATTTAACCAGTATCACTAAAAGGAACGTCTGTTTTACATGCAAGAGGAAACGGCAATAACTTAGGTAGAAATTATTTATGTGCCCCCTATGAGTTCACGGACGTTTACAAGACACCGTAAACGGAATGGGTATACACAACTTTGTCTTCAACTTTATCTCGTCAAGTTAAAATATTATCGTTGACTGTCAAGCGGGAGCTTATTGCCAGACTTGTGTAATGGTTTCAGTTAACTTATTTAACTTTTTGAACTCAACATATTATGTTCGTGGAACAAATGGCACGAGATGGTTCTATGAAGTTGTTTTTATGCAACTTTGAGTGTTACAAGCTTTTCGCCCATCTGATGGTATTTTCTTTTATGGGTGATAATGGCGTGGTAACTACGCCTGCGCTAAAGGTATACCCTGGCGGGGCACTAGTGAGGGAAAATAGATGAGCATGAAAGCAGGTCAGTTAGCCCATCGTAATGAATTCAAAAAGTATTAATCACAATGGTTTTAAGAGGGAACCGCGTGGAAGTCGACCTGACAGAGCTTGCTAGCAATGGGGCCATTAGTCTATATTACAGACAATCACTTTCCCTCCATCTGATGGTATGGCGGCTGTTACCTATAGACGAGACCTATCAGCTTGATATAATACACTTTGGTGGTTATGGTTTCCATCATGTATCACTCGGGAGTGGTAACCATTAGTAGGTAATATGAATACCGATCCGATATCTATTTTCGAATATGTTAAAAGTTTGTTATCTAATATTATTTTTTGGATAACAGACTTTTAACATATTCGTTATTGGATCGATATATATATATATATATGTATATATATATATATATATATATAATATAATATAATATAATATAATATAATAACAAATATGTGTACATGGCGGACTTAATGCTAAAAACATTCTCTCCCAGTCAACCATAGGGAAGTGTCAGAATACTCGAATGCGGTACTACTAATTATTGATATACATTATACATACATACTAAAATTACATATATAAACGAATAAATATATATGAATAACAAATATACTTACACATATATGATATATACTATATTATAAACGAAATTGAGAATAATATAAAGCACTTACTGCTCGGATAAAGATAAAAAGTGAGCGTGAACGCTTTTTTTGAAAGACGGTTTAGTCGGTAGTCTCTTAATGGCATCAGGAAGCGCGTTCCAGAGTCGTGAAGAATGTAGGAGAAAAGATTTTGAAGCGTAACCAGTACGGTGAGAGGGGAAAGATAATTGGAGAGTATTATTGGAACGAAGGTTACGTTCGTTAGTTTCAAAAAGATACTGGAATTTACTCCTTAAGTAGTTAGGAGACTGGGAGTTTCGAAGAAGAGTGTAGAGGGTACAAAGAGTTCTAACGTTTCTGCGTTGACGAATGGAAAGCCACTTGAGCCGAGACCGATATAAAGAAATGTGATCGAACTCCCGGAGATTATTAAATATTGTAACTAATATATATATATATATATATATATATATATATATATATATATATATATATATATACATACATATACATATATATATATATATACATATATATATATATATATATATTGCTGTATATTACGTAGTCCTATTAACCGTCGTATGTAGGTATTAGCTCAATGGGCTTTATAATGCAATGTGATTCTCCTAATATCCTGCTTGTATTGTTATAAAAAGGTGTAATGCCTCAACATATCAGTCGTTTACCGTCCACTGCTGAACATAGGCTCTGTCTATTTAGGAGTTTTGGCAGTAGTTGTCACGCTTGGCAGACGGATTGGTGATCGACGGAAGGGGTGGCCTATTCTATCCTCGGGCCATACAACCATATATACCTATTGCTCATATGCTATAAGAAATATTTAATACAGAGTAGTTCATCAGAACTGTATCAGTCGAATAATGTCCCATTAGGGAGCTACAAACACTGTAATGTCAATAAAGTCGTGAAGATATTTTTATTACTTGCCATATTCTTATACCCCAAACTGAAATGCAACAACGCAAACATTACTGCTGCATAGCTGAAACAGGTGTGTCATTAAGTGATAAAAAGTTTTACTACCAAGTAAAATGAACTACGTTTCACTGTACACATATCTATTTATATATTTATTTACAGCAAGGCAACAGATTACAAATTAATACATTAATAAAATAAATCTATACTTATAACAAATCTGTAGAGAGGTCAATTCTGTACATGAAATATATTTCCAAATTATAAATATAAGCCCCTTGGTGGATTTTTTTAGTAGTTGCCACGCTTGTAAGATGAATTGGCAACCGCAGTTACGCTTTGAAGATGTTTTAAGATCGACGCCCATCCCTCGTCCTTCCCTAGTCGCCTCATACGACACCCACTACTACTAGGAGAAAGAAACACTAATTAGTACTAATAGATTCAACTGTCTGATAAAAAATATTTTATTTATTTATTTACATTAACTTTGGATATTGTATGGTGAATCATGTGGTTCTACGTACTAGATTTAACATAATACCATCGGCAGGAGTCATTACTAGTCTTTTTGGATGAAATCTTACTTCTTTCATTGTATTCTTTGAGGATTCAACTCGAAACTTGGATAATAACATTACCATGCAGATACGGGATTGTATTTTAGCAAAACGCATACCTGAAACAAAACAATTAGTATACAATATGTTCCACCTAGTTTTTTTTTGATGGGTGAAAATGGTATGGTAACCCCGCCTGCGCTAACGGGATACGCTGGCGGAGCACCAGTGAAGGGTGATAGATGAGAATGAAAACAGGCCAGTTAGCCCATCATGATGAATTCATCAGGAATTAAGCATGATAGTTTCCAGGAAGAACCGCAAGGAGGTCGATCTGGTTGGGTATATTGCTAGCAATAGGATTCTCAGTCTCCATTACTAACAATCCCTTTCCCCCCTGTTCCACCTAGTTAATGACAATTCCATACCAAGATAATATGAATTATAATGATTGATGATGAAATCTACATGTTCTACGTTGGACTTTATTACGCTAGCTCGAAAAGTAAATAATTGTAGAAATTTCATGGAACATTATTAGTACATATATTATTGTTAATAATAATACTATCATTTTTAATAAACTACCGCAATAGTCGGTATATACTTTTGGCTTAAGGAATATAGTTGTATATACATTTATTTATTTTATCTTTGTATTTTCATTATGAATTAATGCAAAAATCTACTTACCAATACAATTTCTGGGACCAACTCCAAAAGGCATGTAAGCACAGGGATGTCTCTCACCTGCTGTCTCAGGATTAAACCTTTCAGGGTCAAATACTTCAGGATTGGGGTAATACTTAGGATCGTATTGAATTCCACGTGGTGTTATTAATACCATTTGATTCTTTTTTATTGTAATATCAGTATCCGGAATTTTGTAATCCTCCTGTGCAGTTCTTTGCAGTGGTTCTACTAATGGAAACATGCGCAGTGTTTCATCAAATACTTTTTCTATGTAGGTCATATCTTTTATAGTATCATAGGTTATTTCTCCATTGTGCTTTTTGAGTACTTCGTCGATTTCTGCTAGTAGTTTGTCTTGAACATGTTGATTTTTTGCTAGTAAATAGAGCATAAATGACATAGTTGTTGCACTTGTTTCATATCCGGCTGCAAAAAACACAAATGCTTGAGCAGCAATTATACTATCTGTCAGTTCTAAATATGTTTGTTTATCTGTATCTGTTTTTTTATATGAATAAATATTTTTTTGCTGTCTCAATTCCAGAATTAAATCCATAAAGTCCTTTCTGTTCGATGGCTTACCACTTCTCTCTTGGATTACTCCCGCAACAAGGGAATGAAAGAAATTCGTGACATGCTTTGGGAAAAGCGATGCGTTTAGTTTTTTTAATAAACCAGGGTACATCATATCCAGTTCAAATGCAAAACTGGCTGAAAAAATGTCGGAATCAATTTTATAAAGCGATTCCATTATTTTGTCACCGTCTTCAAAATTTTTTATGTCAATTCCAAAGGCACAAGCTGATATTGTCGACATTGTGTATTTCTGTACAAGTGTGTGAACTTTCTGTTCTGGCTGATCAAGCGTTATTTTCTCGACATGTTGAAGAAACTTTTCACCACGTTGAGTCATTAAGTACACCATATTTTTCAGTTTTTCAGAAGTGAAAAGTGGTGTAAAGCGAGCTCTTAGAACTTTCCATGTGTCTCCATCGGCGTGGAAGAGGTTCGCTCCCAAACCTTCCTTACTGAATTCGATACCGCGGTCGGTAAATTTATTAAAAATCTTTGATCATTATATGCTTTATAATGTCCAGGTCTCTAATAAGAAGACAAGGCGTGGTCATCCTATAAACTCCAACAACTTTTTCATTAGGATATTGTTTATAAATCTTTACAAACGTTTCACCAATAAATTCGCGTCGAAATGTTGAATCTTTGATATTACCAAAGAATGGTATAGGGTCTGGGCCTGTTATACCCCTATCTTTCCAATAATTAAAGGTCCTTGTGAAGTAACGGTACAGAATGTAAAATAGTGCTGTAAACACCAATGGAATATAAATTAAACTCATTTTTTGAGTTAAACTGTTTATAGTAAGGAAAAAAATTTCCTATTGAGAGCAACAAATTATTTCATGTTTATATATAGTAAGGTGAACAATAAAGTGCTAGTAAGGAGGTGTGGTACAAGTCATAGACGACCAAGCATTTTACAGAATATGTATTGCATTGCAGACTTCAAATAAAAATTATATTACTTTAAATATTAAATATGTCAATTAAATATGATTATGTAAACAAATTGAAAGATATTATAATATTAATAGAATAGAATTTCAAGTGTCAGAGACAATTTCAAGTGTATGAGGAACACAAACATTACAAGTGTTCTCATTTACAATATAAATAAGAAGTTTAATTAATAAGCCAAGTTAAAACTCGCTTGCATTAATCTGATACTACTACTTCTACTGATAGTTATAAATGTAAAAATTGTAAAGGTGTTTTTTATTTGAATTTTATTTCAATTTTTATAATTATATTATGTAGATATATGGTGTCAATAAGAGAAATATTAACAGGCAATTTTTCATTTTATGTAAATGAAGTCTTCTTAATTAGTAGATATTCAGGTTAGATCACTCAGATGATCCTTGGCTGACTTCTTATAACTCAATCAGCTCAAGAAACTATGTAATTTATTTGTATGAAAAAATATATAATTTCGTGCATGGATGTGTTTGCAACCGAGTATGTATAGAAAAATAGACTTAATGACATAACAGTTAGATCAATGCTAGCAGTTAATAGACGTGTATTAATTTTGTTACGAGTCATTACATTTGATAACTGAATATTATCCATCTACAAAATCGCAGTATACATGATGAGGTGGCAAAAATTTTGCATGCTCGTCGATGCAAGTCATTTGCGAGTAGCTGAGATGAAGCATACATAAATTTCATTTGTCTGGAATAAAGACATTCATAATTTATACTCGAAGAAAGAATTATTTGCTGTGGTTTTATAGAATTAGTGAAAATTATATCTAATTTTCTGCCATCGAGTAGTTACGCTTGTATGCTTATGTTTTAGTTTGTGTGGTATTTTTGTGGCATTGAAATGTGAATTACATTGTCATGATATTTGATGTCACATTTTACAGTATATTTTATGATGCTACTGATACTTTTATGGTTAATTTTATAGCCTATGCACAATAATCATTAATTATTGTCTTTGGGGTGGACGATAAGTTTGTGTTATATTTTTTTTATACAACTTACAATGGAAAACAAGCTGACGGCTCACCTGATGAAAAGTGGTAACCGTCGCATATAGACATGAACAGTACCATGGACATAAAAGAGTTTACCGTTTCGCCTATGATACCCCCCATGCGTTGCCATACCTGAGGACTCGGATGTTATTTCTCTGTACCCTGAAAATTCACGCCATATCCCACCCTTCAAACCGAAACACAGCTATATAAAGATATTAGTTCAAAATATTGATCTCGTACCATACGCTAAATCATAATTTCATAATTTGCGATTTCTAAGAACTAATATATTACCATGTACTATGCTATCTTGTTTGTATAAATGGATTATTAGAGTTTTTGTCAAATAGAAACCAACATCGTATCTTTTATACTCTATTATTACCTCGCTGTCTAGTAACAGAGCAGGAATACAATGCGCCAGCGCCACTTTGACAAAACATGCGTGAGAAACCATTGTGCGGACAAAATACAACAAGTGAGACATATTGTATATACATTTTGGAATAAAATTTAATTTTTTATAAGAGAAATACTGTTTCTTACATAATTTGTTATATTAAGTAAGTTAGAGGCCACATGATGGAAAGTAGTAACTGTCACCTATAAACATGAACTGCATTACGGATGTCACAGAATATTCTGCAACGCCCATTGTACCAATCAAACGTTGGCATTCTGGAGTACAAAGGTATTGTATCTCCGTAGCCTGTAACTTCACTGTCATACCTTTTAAACTAAATAGTTATAGCTACTTTGCAGTAGAAATAGGGGGTAGAATTCTGTATTGTGGCTAATAAGAAGAAACAGTTTTAGAATTTTCATTTTGTTTCAGATCCCCCCGTAGCTCAAATATCTCTTGTGGACCCGAAAGAACCACGTATGCTTAGAGAGGATGAAAACGCTGAACTGTCGTGTTCAGCGGATGCTTCCCCACCTGCTACTAATTTTACTTTCTACAAAGGAGCAGAGGTGACAATATCTGTATTATTCTCATTATTTATTATAATCATTATTATATCAGCCTTTAACTGTCCATTGCTGAACATAAGCCTCCCACTTGGGGAGTAATTATTAGAATAATTAAAAATTTATTTATTTATTTATAACTCAAAATGTGCTTTATCGTTCGTAATTGTTTATTTTGCTCATTTTAATATAAGTCTGTTAAAATAATCTTTATTTATTTATATATTGCAATGTAGAATACAATTCATATATTTAAATCGCGAATATTAGCTTTCACTTTGATATTCTTCTCTCTTGTGTTGATACGATGTATTATGTTTTTTTTAATTGCCTCTTACGAGTACAAAATTTTAGGAATTAGAAGAAGTGATGATACATTTTATTTTCAATCCATTATTACCTAGATCATCAATTTTGTTTAGGTGCATGTAATTCGAGACGATCCCATCAATGGGGTTTCCGTTGAGAGGAACAAGCTGCTTCTACGAGGCCTGAGGAGACACCACTCTGCATTATACAGATGTAGAGCGAGAAATACTGAGGGAAGCGCATTAAGTGAACCTCTGACATTGAATGTACTTTGTAAGTATACTTTCTGAGTATTCTTTGTTGTCAGACTCGATTGTTATACAAATGTCATCTTTGTTTCACTTATGTTTCTACCGCTAAACAAGTCAGTGTATAATGAAATTACGATACGGCATTTCAAGATACATGAGTAAATTTTAGTAGTAAAATGAGTGATAGCAGAGGGTTATAACTGATACTTATTTCAGCTCGTCCAGAATGTGCTGCTGGGAGCGTCATCCAACAACTGGCAGCCACTCCTGGGGGGGAGGTAAGGGCTCGGTGCTCAGTTACTGCCCCTTCCTCATGGGATGCCGGACCTTTGCGGTTTTACTGGACTTACAATGGCACTAAAGATGTTTTACCGGTAAGTTCATATCGATAGGTGTTTCTATGTTACATTTATTGTATAGAGTGAACTTTGGGTGTATAAAAAAGAGAATGCAAGTAAAAAGTCTAAGTGTAGTGCGAATAATTTGTAAAGTAATACATATATACATGTCAAACAATATATATGTTGGTCTAAAATAAAGTATCAATATAATAATGAAAAACTGCAACAACCAAGTATGTGCAAAGTAAGTGGAATACAATGAAAAAGAACCAAGAGTCTTCAAAACTGGCGTAGACGCTTTAGACTTAGTTATCTCTGCCCTATAAAGAACTTTGTGCAGTAATGCTTATTATAGTTTTTTATTTTTATTTACTGTCAGGCAACATTTTTCGAATTTTGTTCCGTTTTTAAATTTAAATTTTATTTTAATATTTACTAGATACCTGCATCTAACGTAACAGTCATGGGTGGGAGCAGTACAGTAATCCATGGTTTACCAGAAGATAACGAAGAAGACCTCGGCTGGCTTGCTTGCTGGGCGAGCAATGACGTAGGAAATCAAAGGGAGCCATGTCTTTTCAGAATAGTACCTGCAGGTATGCACAGTTTTTTTTTTAATATATAATAAAATACCCCATAACGAAGCGGTAAAAACTGAATAGGAACTTTTTTTAAATAACTGCCTGATGTTTCACTGATACACCACGATGATAAATTGTCTGATGGTAAGCGATTACCAGTTGAATATTTGTAACATTAAAGAAAGCATGCACTTCTAAATTTTCATCTATATTTATATTCATTTTTGTATTTACTATAAACTTTATCACTGCATCATCCTTACCATGCCATATCTTACCTAATACTTACATCCTTCTTTCTGCATATTACTTATAATAACTGTTTAAATTTTATTTAGCTCTCCCAGAACCTCCGAGCAACTGCGAAATTGAGAATGACATACTCCAATGCGAGCCCGGTCACGATGGCGGCCTCACACAACGATTTCTGCTTGAAGCCCTGGAGGTACGGCCTCGTCAAGACGTGGCCCACGAAGACAATGAGATATCCACTATGAACGATCAGGTAAGCGCGGCTTCTCCGTTCGCCGTGCTTATAATCTCTTTTAGGAATGCTTTTGGTAAGCACTTGCACTATTTGAAATACATACTCTTAACATTATTCATATGTATTTTTCGACTATAAACAGGTCTTATCGTATACTGACTATTTGTTCTCAAATCAAAGTCTCTTGCTATCGTGATTGGCATGTATCTTTGATTTTCATCTTTTTGTAATAAACTTATATATTTAATAAGTCCTTCTATTCTTATAAGAGGAATATCAATATCAGCAAAATTTAGAAGATAGCATGATGTTTTATTATTTTATGCTTTTTATGGCTATGTTACATGATACGTCACTATCATATATACGAGTATGCCGATTTCCACGAGCATGATAAATAAACTTTACCTGAAGGAGACTGTCCAAAAGTCGTCTGCTTGAGAACCTCTGTCGCATACGTGTTTCTGCCGTGAAGTAGTTGTGCTTGCATGGTTATGTTTTGGTTTGAAGGGTAGAGGAAGGGATATTTCAGTTAAATTCCAGGTAACAGAGGCATGACATCTTAATCCTCAAGAATGGCAACGCTTTATGTGTATGCTTCATGGGTATCAAGGTAAGCAGCATAAAAAAGTCGACCTGGTGGAAATTGAAAACCATTGCTTCTATATTTACCATTGAAACATGAAATGAAATATATTTATTGTGGATAAAAAATCTCTCCAGTAGAGGGAGGCTTATGTTAAGCAATGGACACTTAAAGGCTGATATGATGATTATGATATTGGGTCAGAAAGTTTATAAATATCGTAAAAATCTTTTGTGGTAGAAATTTAATATAAAAAATACTTTTCCCTTTGTTGTGAATCAAATAATTTTTAACTTTCTTCCATTCTGATTATATTCTGTAAATATTAATTGTCATTCTATGTCTTGGATGATACATAAAGTATTCACTGTGGTATTTTGATTACATAAAATTATAAATATAATAGTTTTAATATTTTAGTTTTTCAATATAATTTTGTTATTCAGGGTATCTCTGGCCGTGGCTTATCAGAGGCTGTATATCGAGTGAGAAATGATAGGCCGCAGTTTTCACTCGATGCTTTGTCACCGGGACGTTATACATTACTGGTTTACTCAGAAACACCAAGAGGGCGCTCACCAAAACCAGCAGCATTGCATAGCGTTGCAATAAAGTCTTCCAATGATTTGGATATACCTGGTAAGTTATTTTTTTTAAAAGGACATTAGAAACAAGACAATGAACATCTAGTCACATCATCAAATTCGACAGAATTTAGAGATCATTTACCAACTTAGCCGATCATCCAAACTGGGATTTTTAGGTACAAAGAAATTTGAATAGTACTGTGCTAAGGCGTTTGTTAAAGATTGTCTTTAAAAAATAATTCAGAATACATATTCCAAAAGAAACTTATTTACTTATAAACCAATGTTTTTGTTAAAGTAATATTTACTGCTGAATATGAGCATAATACATCTCATAATATTGAGAATATATTAACTAAAAAATCTCTATCAGTAAATTTATCAATGTCTAATAATTAGACTAATGATGAAAATGATAATAAAATATTCTCTGATGATGGTTTTATTATCAGGTTCACTGCAAACTATGACACCGGCACCGCCTCCTCCCACTGCAGACAACAGCGTGGCTCTACTAACTGGAGCTGTCTTGTCACTAATTTTGTTAACGATTTTAACGACATTGTGTGTAGCACTAGTTGTTATGTGCAAAAAGAAGAGACCTAGACGCGATCCTGAACAGAGGTAAATAATTATTAATTATATTAAAATAAGACTTAAATTGCCATGTCGATTCGACCGCTTAATGAAATATAAACATATTCATTGTTATATTCACCACAAAGGTGACAATTATCAAGTGTGTTTCATATTCCATTAGGAGTTACACTCGTCTTATTATTTCTTTTTAAAGGAAGTGTGTTTCAAGTAGAAAAGTAATGATTTTGCACGAGTGAAATGTTTACTTTTCTTACTCCTCCATTTAGGATTAGGTTATCATTAGAGTGTCGAGGTCTAGAGGTGTATACAACCATCTCATCCTTAGTTCTTTTAGATCAGTTTACAAACTATTGCACACCGATCCATCTGGATCTTTTGTGCTTCCTCCTGCTTTATCATTTTATAGATCTTTTGCATTAGTTTTATAATATCCCACAGTTTAAGATATCAATACTCTCTTGGCTTCAGATAAAGTCATTACCAATAGATTTATACTTGACAATGGTTCGCAATTACACATCTTGTGTTCCACAGATTCAGATTATTTACTTCACGTTCTACACTGTATATTCGAAGATAACCTTACTTATATAGTTTATGCCTTACCGAAATGAGACCTATAGCTCCCATCCCAAGCTATTGTTATAACTATACTAATTTTAACATGATAGAATACATTTTAAGAACAAATTTTTTTTTTTATTTTAATTCACTTTCAAATTGTACTTTTTTTAAAAAAAAAAAACTATTAAATTATGGCTTTGTTGCCATTTAAGCTTTGTTATTGACAATATTGCTGTAGTTTTCAATAGTATTGTTTAATTTTGTGTTTCCTTCAGTTGTATTATACATTTATAAAAACTTTAGTGGCTGTTAAATTATTATTGAAGTGTGCATTTACGTATTGTTATAGTTGTCTGTTTGCCTAAATTAATTAATTAATGTACTAAATATTTTCGCTATTACAGTACGATCCTGCGTAGAAATGTCGGTGTATCAATGTATGGTGGTTCATCTATAGGTCAAACTGTTCCTACTGTAGTTGTAAGAGGTCACAGAGGTTCCAGAGTGCTGGCCGCGAGGTGGTCCGGTGTATTGGATGATGCCCCATTAACAGTTCTTGCTTTAGATACTAGACCACATGGTAAGTATTTGGAATAAAATTCTGTTGCATTTAGTTAAATTTTATTCAAGAATTAAAATAAATTACAAGTGAAGACCTACTCAGTTTTAACTGAATGATGCTGTGGAATATTGTAATTGAAATAATATCTAATTATTGATTTTATTTTCCAGAAGAAGCTGAATCGAGCAACAGTGATGCTGAACAAGAAACTGTACTGACTAGGCACGATGACAACGAAACTCAAACAGATTCATAATATAAGAAAATACGCGAATTTTCCGAATTATGTATAAAACCAGAAATTAAATTTATATATGAGTAATTTTAATATGATTTTAAAAACGTATATGTTAATTTTAAAGATTGATGAATGTGGAAGAAGCGAAAGAGGTTTGTTTGAATCGAAGCATTTGGCGTTCCATTGTTTCTGCCTACCCTAATGGGAGACAGGCGTGACAGATATGTATATATGTTATTTTTTTACCCATTTATATGTAACTTCGGACATCGGGTATTTAGTGAACTATGTTTGTTGTCATAGTAAATTATTTAAATTCCGGATGTCTAGTTTTATATAAATTTTAATATTCTTATGGAGAGTGAGAATGTACATAGGTTCATTGGGATAGTTTATGGTGATAAGTAATAGTTTTTTTTTCTTTACTTTGTTTATATTTCCTTTTACTAAAATTAAAGCTAAATTATAGAAAATTATGGATGAAACAATTATTGTGGAGAATTTATGAATGTAATTCGTTATATTTATATATATTTTTTTTTAAGTTTTTATTTTTCCCTGTTCTTTTACTGAGATGTAATTTTTTTTTCCATATTATTTATAAGTATAATAACAATGTAGTATAGATAATATCATTTTCCATTGTTGTGATTTTTTAATATTCTTTGTAATTTATTATTTTATACTGATTTAGAAGGTGATAATGATTGGTATTGATTTATATCAAATGATCTTTTAATATGTATGACGTAGTCTAATAGCTCTAAAAAAAAAGTATTGCATAAAATATTTAAAGTATTCTTCAGAGAGTTTATTTCTTAAAAGTATTCTTCATAAAAAGTATTTATGCAAATGATTGGAAATTTAAAAAGTAACCAAAGTATTTAAGAGAAGAATTTAAACTGTTCGATAATAATTTTTGTGAGTCGTACTATCTTTTATTTATATTGGCTTTACTCAGCAATAGATAGCAACAGCGCGCTGGTGGCCCTGTGCTGTTCGCGATAATGCCGTGAACCGCGCTCATGAATAAGGGTTCCTATTGAGTTCGAAAATTGTCCGGCGTGTCCGAATTAAAAATGCAAGTAAAGCCGACATAAATAATTATAATTTAAACTATTTTTAATTTTATAAATTGCTGTAAAAGTTTAATACGGTAATTATATAAATAAAATTAACATGCAAATATCAATGTTAGGTATTTGTATTAGATAATGCCAGTATAAGAGAATGAGTGTTGATTGTATAAACTTGTATAAAAGTGATTCTGACTGAGTGTATAATAAATTATATTAGTGATTTAGTTATATAACTTTATATAGAGAAAGGTAAGGTTTAAGTTTTTTACTTAGTGTCCACCGCGAATCAGAAATGTATTATAGCTTTATATAGAATCTGCTTAGTATTACTAATAGACCTAGGTAACTTACACCACAAGAACCTCAATCAAAAATGTAAGATTTTTATCTCCCTTATACAAACACACAGAAGCCTTGATTGATGAATGTGGAGGAAGCGAAATGGTCTTTTCGGGCATTTTCGGTTTTTTGATGGCTTTTTACTGTTTCTGCCTACCCTAATTGGAGACAAGTATGATGGGTATGTTTATAAAAGCCTCACAGGTCAGTGAAATCATTGGCATTCAAAACTGAGTGAGAAAATAAATGTAAAAGATATGACCTCGGTAGGAGAATCAAAAGATCTTTTTACATTAGGGCTAAAAATAAATTTTAACTTCAAAATCTTAGAATATTCAACACCTAGATCAATAAAATAATTAGAAATATGATTAAAATGGGAAAAATATATTCCAATAATGAAAAAATACAGTGATTAAAAAATTTCAACCTGCGTCTTCTATACCATGCTGGTACCAGTGCTATAATTATATTAACTTGAATTTAGTAAATTTTACTTAGAATAAGTTGTGAAATTTAGACCCTTCGTGAGAGTACGCCCTCCTACAAACTTATCACAAACTTTTTTCGTTTGAAAATAAGACGTAGAAATGAAATATAATGAAATGAAATATAATGAAATGAAATTAAATGTAATGAAATTAAATGAAATGAAAATAAATGAAACAAAATGAAATATTTATTTGTTTTAAACAGACATTTAACATAATAAAATGTGACAGAACTTTTTGGCATTGAACTGTTTAATTGCATTAAAATTGTAGACATGCAAATTTAGGCATGCAGTCTAGAATTGATTGATTAAAGAACTATAATAGTAATAAGATATTAATAATAGCTTATTTTTAGTATTACATAAATATTTTTTTCCTAATATAGTTACAAATTATACGGGTATTAAGTATGTAGATTTAGTTTTACCAACAATTCAATATCTATCTCACCGATATTTTGTAAGTATTTATGCATACTAAATGCTTAGTTGGTATCAGAAATGTGGACGTATTTCGACCGATATTGTGTTTACCTTAATACCGATTCACACTGGTCAGTGCGGATTCATGAGAATTTGTGTCATATTGATAAATACCTTAATATATTATTGGCACTTTATTTTTTATTTAGCACCCACTTAGCACACATCATCTATGGAGAAAAATAAATAAATAGACACATTCTACTTTATATCAGAGACTATCGTTCCCCGCGACTTTGTTCGCGTAATGGGAATATGATCACTGATTGGGATGAAAAGTGTAATGAAAAGTAAAGCTTATATCCATCATCGTTCTATATAGTACGTATATACCAAATTTCACAGTGATTGGTTAAATCCCTAACGACTTAACAAGGCGCTACGTGTTAACAAACTCAATTTCACAATTATAATATTAGTAAGGACTTATTGGCAACTAGTGGAACTAGTGTAGGAACTAGTGAAGAATAACGAATTAATTTAATCGATTTATTGTAAATGTAGTACGGCCAGTGAGGAAATATAAAAAATAATCTAAACAAGCAATTCATGTTGAACACAGAAAGAGTCACCACTGACGTTGAAATCTACGACACTGATTGTCATGTATTATCTCTGATGAGTGTGAATAGTACTCATATTATTTTGTTATGCATATTATTGGGACAATTATTTTAATATATATAATAGATATATTTTTTTAATATTATAATAACGAATGAAGGTACAACAATTTCCTATGTTCACGTATTAATTATATAGATACTTAATTTATTAATCAATTGGCTATATAAGGTTATTGAATATTTTAAATTTAATACGTATTTGGTATTAAATTTGAAAGTATCCTTTTTATATGTAAGATACGTGTGTCTAAATATAATTCCCAATACTTTATGCAGTATTTTTAATTAAATGAAATGATGTTTATTTGTCAGTCTTAGTAATTAACGATAATGGCCACGTAGTGTTAAATTTGGCACCATATAGGTAATATATATATATATTACAAAAATATATAAAATTAAATTAGTATTAATATTATTAAATAATTTAATATAAATAATCATTTATATTATAATGTAAAATAGCTCACGGAATGTTGTCACTTCATTGTAAAGAGCAAATTCAGTGTAGGGTTGAGTGATATCTTAATATTTAAGTAACAATATCTATGGTATGTACTGGTCCAAAAAGAAATATGTTAAAATTCTGCTATATAAATAATAATATTGGATTACAGACTTAACATATTCATAAATAGATATCCAACCGATATGGGCGATATTGAAATTGGTGATGAATTTTTTTTTTCATCGTCAATGTCCAAAGGAACCTAATATATAGGTATCCATATTACCAATACCAAATTCAGCGTATGTAATATATATTATTATATGTTTCTATTAATTTCGCTTATCATTTAATATTTATTTAATTCTACATAGATATCTATGTTTAAAGTTTCAATTTTTTATGGGAATTCGTATATGGTATACCCTTGTATTTATTATGATTTGATCTATTTAAAAATCTGGAAACTTATTTTTCATTTAAAATTGGTAATGAAAATACAATATTTAAAACAATTTAGTGGCAATTTTTTTTTTGTATTAAACTTTAATACACCTAGATAGTGTAAATGGCGGATTTAACACCATATGGCGTTATCTAGCAGTCGACCGTAGACAGAAATAACAGAAAATATAATTAACGATACAACCGGATGAGAAAACAAATAGAAAAACAAAAAAAAAACAATATAGGGTATTTACACATCATGTAAATATATATATGTATATTTGTATAAAAAATGTTAACCCTTCTTTGCATGATTTTTTTTTTATTGGTAAAATAAATCTATGTGATATAATTCATGTTTAAAATTAAAGGAAAAGTGGTTAAAAAATAAATTTGACAGCTATATTTTTTTTCTGCAATGGACATTAAAAAGGTATCCAGACACGATCAACTTAAAGTGAACTTGTTCTTTTATATAATTTTTGGGCATTCAATGTATAATGATGGAAATTTCCACCATTATGCGAAGAAGGGTTAATAATGTATTTAAAAAAATGTGTTTTTATTTTTAATGTTCTTTGATCATAAGTAGCTATGAACAATTGCGACAGGATTTTATTGACTGAATCTATTAGCAATAATTTTAAACTTTCGAATTGTTTACACATAGTTTAAATTACTATCGGGACTTAAAAACAATAAAAAATTTGCAAGTATTACCTACATACCTGCTTTTTTATCACCGACGTTTCGACGTGGATTGCACCATGTCGTGGTCACGACAGGACTGAAGTGAGCGGTGTCTGAAGTAACTTTGTACACCTTAACAGTAAAAAAAAATTTTTTTGATCCCAAATTGTTTTAAATATTGTATTGTAAATTGTATTGTAAATTGATATCATAATTTTACAGAGTATACAAAAATACGTGATTAATATAATAGACAGGCAATAGAGTTCAAAATTATATAAAATTCTATTTACCTAATAAAAGTTTACATAATTTTTTGTTATAAAATTCCAGTATCTTTTTTAAACGTAACCTTCGTTCCAGTAATACTTTCCAACTATTTTTCCCCTCTCACCGTACTGGTTTCGCTTCAAATTCTTTTCATTCTTACATTCTTCCTCCATTCTTCACGACTCTGGAACGCGCTTTCTGATGCCATTAAGAAACTATCGACTAAACCGTCTTTCAAAAAAAAAACCGTTCATACTCACTTTTTTACTTTATCCGAGCAGTGAGTTCTTTATATTATTCTCAATTTCGTGTTTAATATAGTATATGTTATATATGTGTAAGTATATTTGTTATTTATATATATTTATTCGTTTATATATGTAATTTTAGTATGTATATATATATCAATAATTAGTAGTACCGCATTCGAATATTCTGACACTTCCCTATGATTGACTGGGAGAGAATGCTTTTAGCATTAAGTCTGCCATGTGCACATATATGTACTAATGAATAAATAAATAAATACATTTAAATAATGAATGTAGAAACAGAAATCAATGATAAATGTATACGTTTTAGTATAGCATTATACCAAAAATTGTTCAAACACGAAATAAACTTTATATTTTATCAATTTGTTTATTTTTATTTGTGTAACCTTTAAATTTTGATACATCAATACTCATACTTGTTTTATGAAACTTAGAATGGCAAGCAAGCTGCCGGCCAACATGATGGAAAGTAATAACCGTCGCCTATAGACATAAGCAGTACCATGGACATAACAGTACACACACATACTGTTTCGCCCATGATACCCCCCATGCGTTGCCATTCCTGATGACTCATGTGTTATTCCTCTATACCCTGTAAATTCACGCCATATCCTACCCTTCAAACTGAAACACAGTCATGTAAAAACTGCTTTACGGTTGAAACACGAATGCGACAGAGGTACCCAAGCAGATGATTTTTGTACGAAGTCTCCCTCTGGTATATATGTTTAATAATTTATTTATTTATTTATAATGTATATAATAATAATCCAGGACACAGCAATATATAAGGTTTAATAAACCACTGGAAAATGGTAACCGTCGCCTATATACATATATGAATGGTATCATACCTGTCTATATACATATATAACAAGAAGTCGAAGAAGACTTGAAGTCGAAACAATTATTAAAAAAAGACAAATCACAATGAGTTTTTTAATATCACAATATACACAAGCAAAGCCACAGATTATAGCTAACATCTATAGTGTTGTAAAAAAAAAACAACTGTATGATCCTGACATCTACTTAACGACCTATATAATTTACTAAGTACAGTATAATAGAGCCCTCAGTATAGAACCCTGTCATTATCCAACCCTTACTTAAAGAGATCGTTTGATCCACTTTCCATTAAATAATGAAGGAAAACATACGGAAAATTTGAGGTAAAATAGTTTGATACAATTTCCTCAAATAGGAAACGTGACCTCATATTTTTATTTTATTATTTAGATTAAAATTGTCAGGAATTACTGCAGTGTCAATTGTATATAATTTTATACTGATTTTTACCAAATTAGTATGGGATTAACAAAGAAGTAAACCCTTTCAATTCTTTCAAAACAAATGGAAAGAAAGAAAGAAATATTTTGATTCAAGTAAACTTAGATTATAATTATTAGATTGTCAGTGTGGACCCGGTATAGAATAGGCCACCCATTTCCTTTCCCGTAGGTGTCGTAAGAAGCGACTAAGGGAGTGCGAGAGATGGGCAGCAGCGTCCCTCTTAACACATCTCTAAAGCCTGACTACGGTTGCCCATTTTCCTGCCAAGCATTGCAATTACTAGCAGCCCCCCCCCCTCCTAATACGCTTCCCCCTAAATATAAATTTATTTATTCCTAAGATCACCTTTCAAGAATCATCGATTAATGGTTCTTAAAGGTTCCAATGGACTGGTTATAACCAGCCCACTGCCACTTTAGCTTGACGAGTCTTCCAGTTATATAAGTCACTATTGTAAGTTGTAGTTTATTGTAAATCACAGAAAAATATTACACATTGGCATTTTAATAAGATACAATTTGAAACAGAAACAATCTATTGAAAATATACTTCAAAAACTCAACAAGGTAACACTGCAACAATTGTAGGTAAGACTGGAAACACATCTAAGGTGTAAAAATACTTGGAAAACTATATTATAGAATAGCTTAGTAGACGTAGTTTGATAAAAAAAAAAATTATAATTGTCATATAGGAATTCGTATTTTTTTTAATGGATGATAATGGAATGATGACCCCGCCTGCGCTAACGGTATACACTGGCGGGGCACCAGTGAGGGATGATAGATGAGAATGGAAAGGCAGGTTAATTAGCCCATCGTGAGGAATATACCTGAAATAGAGCACAGTGATTTCCAAGGGGGGCCACGTGGAGGTCGATATGACAGAGTATATTGCTAATAATGGGACGGGTAGTCTGCATTACTAACAATCCCTTTCCGTCCCCCCCCCTAAGAATTTGTATTAGGAATTATTTAGTTCTCTCTCTCTCTCTGCGCTTTTGTTTGCTACGATTAAGACAAAATATGTCCTAAAAATGTCCAGAGGAATAGTAGGTTTACAATGTAAAGAACTAATATCTCATCATCATCATAATTAGCCTGCTGCAGTCCACTGCTACACATAGACCTCTCCTAAGACACGACTAAAACTGACTACTAACGGGCCCTTATTAATTCAGATGAAAGTATTGGAAAAGTCTTCAGAGAAGCAAAGAACAATATCCAATGGGGAAAAAAATCTCGAACTGTTAGATGCAGTATAGGTCAACCCTTTCTAGATGGAGCGGTGGAAGTCAATGGATGCAGATGGCTCAGGACCATTGCATACAACATACTATAGGGTATGTTTAGCAATGAATTCTTTTTTTAATATTTTAGTCATTGATTATTAATTATAATCAACTTCATCCCTCGGAATAACCGCCGTCATAATATGTCGTTAAATTTCTTATAACGAAAAAAAAAAAAATAAATATTGTGCCAAGAAATATCATTATATTATCAATAGAGACAGAATACAAAAAGGAAACTTTGCGTTGGTTTTTGGAGAAAATGTATGGAAGAAGAATTATAAAAGATATTTATCAAGTACGAATAAATAGAGATGTCGGTAGGGATAGACCTAGATGAACATTCACGTATATCAACCAAATACGCAACGTTTTGAAGAAGGGCCAAAACGAAAGTACCCATTATTGATGAGATTGATGAATTTGTAAACGATTTGTTTGAAACGGAGACAGACATTGAAAGACAGACATGATGAGTGTGCATATAGATTTAATTGTACCGTCCACCATTGAATTGTTTTAAATTCAGATTGGTTACAGAAAAGTTTTAGTTACTTTGTCACAAACATACATTGTATCTGCGACTTCTATTCTACCTAATTCCGTGCTATCAACTTAAGTGCATTCGTAGTAAAACACTGTTTAAGTTGTGTTTATGTATTTGCTTGGGGTTTAGACAAAGTATTCTCTGGTTGATTTACGTGCTCCGTATATTTCACTGCAACACCTTCAAACTATTTCATTGTTTAAAATATAGAGCAGGTATACTTTGTTTCCTCTCCAGCAGGTAATATGGAAAACGCTGTGTTTCTGTTTTAAGGGGGTATGGAGGCATAATACTGTAACACTCAGGAATAACAAGGCTTGAGGAGTAACATTGCTATTGTAGTATTTAGTAATATCCATGGTGCTGTTCATATCAGCAGGTGATGATTACCACTTCCATCAGATGGTCCGTCTTGTTTACCATACTAAGTATCATAAAAAAATGCTATAACTTGACAACTTCTGGTGGATTTTGGTAAATAGTTCCGGCTGGTTTAAAGATTGGGTCTTTTTAGTGAATGAAGATGGAATGGTTCATCTGCTTACATTAATACTATATGTAGTGTATGGACACTGAAGGTAAATTACAGTTAAGCTTGATGCCACTGGCTCGGTTTTACACGCACACTCTGCGGCACGTTTGCCCTCGCATAACTTTCCTACGGTACTGACTACTATTGACATTTTTTATATATATATACCTTCGTGTATATACACTTGAGATAGTGTAGATATTGCAAATACACAATCGGGACCTAATTCAATGAAAAAACCTTTACAGCTAAATAGTACCTATACATACATACCTGCTTCTTTATTCGCGACGTTTCAACGTGAATTGCACCATGCCGTGGTCATAACAGGATTGAAGTGACCGGCGTCTTTGTCAGGCATTTAATATTTATTAAACAGCTTTATTAATAACTAGATTGAGATACATAATCCGAAGATTTTATTAACCGAGCGCAACTATTATTCTTGGATATTTCGTGAAGCAATTGAAATTAGGAACAATCCTAAAAATTTCAAAAGGGAAGATGGATATAAGCTTTCAACAACATAGGACCCAATAATTAGTACACTAAAAACGCACAATACTTTGTTTAAATGCAGTATAAATACCGTAAATGCTTTGTGTAGGGTGGCTCTGGATAATAATATTGACAATGTGAGGGTACTCGAAGAGACTGTTATGTCCATGGTACTGCTCATGTCTATAGACGACGGTTGCCACTTTCCATCAGGTGGGCCGTCAGCTTGTTTGCCATTCTTAATTGAATAACAAAAAAAGACTGCGCGAGCTGCCAGATGAAGACACTGCTCATGTCAGTCTTGTCGTGACCACAACGTAGTGTAATCTACGTCGAAGATTCGGCAGTAAAGAAGCAGGTATGTAAATACTACCTGCAAAGATTTTTTCATCGCGTTAAGTGTTTAAAATACGTATAAACAACGCGAAAGTGTAAAATTAACTAGTGCATATTGATCTGCACAAGTTTATTTTAAAGTTTCGCTATATGGCAATATGCGAAATATGTCAATCCATACAATACAGTATGCAATGACGAATCACCTATGGAGGGTGAAATGTTGAGAATGAAAGAAGTCAGCCGACTAATCGAGGCGAATTCACTAGGAACCAAAATCGTTTCCTGGACCACCGCGTGGCCACTTGAAAAGGTATATTGTTAACAATGGGCACTAACGTCCTCATTACTAACAAGATCCTCTATCCAAGGACTTTTATGAAGGTACAAGGTTTATTAAGGAAATAAGTCTACGTTTTTGATGGGCTCGAGGGGAACACTTTGCATTTGAATACGTAGTTGACCTCCAATCGTGACAGAAATCACTCGCATCGATTCACTAACTTAAAGTTATAGAATATTTTCCATGTGATAAAAATATGTATGTGATTTGATACAATATGTAACTTTTGCTTACATAAAGTTTATAATAATAATTTCCATTACAAAAAAAAATGTCGCCAACATACACTATACCTATATATATATATGTATAAATTTTGATGTGAGTTCGAAAGAGAGAAGTAAGAAAAGGTGAAAAGGAAAAGAGAATTTTGCTATTAATTTTTCGTGTATATCTAAACTATTATAATATTATAAACTATCCGCCCGTCCCGTCGCACGGGTGGATATTCTTAACATTTCCCTTCACTGCTCTGCTCCTATTGATTGTAGTGTGATTAAAAGTATACTATAACCTGTC